CAGGTTGAGCCTATGTAATGGATTATATACTCTATGGAACTCCAGTACCTCCATAGCGCTCCCATTTGTTCATCACATGTGCTTTAAAAGACATATGGATTAACTGATAAGAACCAGAAAGGAAAACAGTAGTGTAGAGTAGGCCTTAAGATTCACTGATGATTAATCAGTGAATCTTAAGGAAACAGCTCAAATTCTGCTTGGGATTTTATATAGCTCCAATCCTGCAAGTACCTATGCATATCATTAGTGTTTGGCAATCCCACTGAATTCCTTACCATTAAAAGGCTAGCACATTACTTTTCTGTACAGGAATTACTTATGCTGCTTTGCTTGCAAAAATTCAGTATTTTTGGTGGATGACAATAACCTTGTTTCAAAACTGCTTCCAAGATCCAAACACGAGGGAAAGGATCTAAATCATGCAGGCAAGGGCTGCACGATGACATAGCTGTTGCAGCTACATCCAAAGACAGTTGAGTTACAACTGACACATCTATTAAAATAGAGATGAACACTGAAAAATAAAACGAATGGATCTGTTCCTACATCAAAGACAGAGAAGTAATTATTTCTTATTTTAATCAGATTTAGCTATCAAAACATAGGCACTGTATACCAGATCTAGGAGGCATATCCATTACAGCACAAACTAAACTTGGAAGTAACACACACAGAAACAAATTTTGGTAAGAGTTGTTTTCATATTTATGAAACAAACATGAAACTGCTGTGGCAACAAAGACTTGCACAAAAGAGTAAGACTTAACAGACCCTTAGGATAAGCCTTTTTCAACTTATGTGGGTTATATTTTTAATTCCACAATCCATAAATCATATTTATGTATTAATTAATCTAGCATTTTCAAGACTTCATATTTTAGAAAGAAATATTTCTCAATTCACTATTAAAATCATTCCATGATTGATACCTTACTGTTCCTTCTGGCAAAAAATTAGTCTGTCACCTAAATGTAGATTGCCTTTCATCCTCTTTATAAGATCAAGAATTTCACATATTAAAGAGAGTTGAGTGAACTTCTGACCATGAACTGGGTATCAATTATTGTCCACATTGACATCTGAAGCTCTGTTTCAAAAGTCATAATAAAATAAACCTCTTATTTTAAAAGTTTGAAAGAGTTGAGTACACAGTTCAGTACTACAGTTAGATGACAAACCTCACACCAACACTAATTATTCCAACAACTCATCAAGACCTTGAAACTATCAGTAACCATCTGGTGCACATCTGTGTGTCTGGAAAAAGAAACCAAATTATTTTCTTGGTAGATCAGAGAAGAAAGAGGAAAGAGGACAGAGAAGGCCAGTAGTAAGTTGGTCTCTCTGCTACAAAGGTACACTGCTCATCAATGGTTAACTTGGTGTCCACCAGGACCCCCAGGTCCCTTTCTGCAAAGCTGCTTCCCAGCAAGTCAGCCTGTAGTGGTGCCTGAGGTTGATCCTTCTCAGGTGCAGGACTTTATAGTTTTCCTTCTATAACTTCACAAGGGTCCTGTCAGCCCATTTCTCCAGCCTGTCAAGGTCCCTCTGTGCGGCAGCATAACCCTCTGCTGTATCAGCCGCTCCTCCCAGTTTTGTACTATCAGCAAACTTGTTGAGGGTGCACCCTGTCCCATAATCCAGGTCACCAATGAAGATGCTAAACAATTCCTGGGGTAAATCACCAGTAACTGCACTTCCTGCTGTGGCTCACAACCCTTTTGAATCCAGCAGTACGGCTTTTCCTTGCAACTATAGTAAATCACTGGGACATCCCACAAAAATTCTTCTTTATAGAAATAACCACTTTGACTTGAAATCAGTCCAGATACAGCACCGGATTTTTCAGAGTGACCCAAGCCATACAGAATAGGCAGTACTTGCTGAAACACTGCTGGAGCTATACAGGCAGCACACACAGAGCTTTGTATTACTGTGTGACATGAGAGATGGTGACATGACGGGTAAGATGTTTTTTAATTGCTGATGAATAGCAGGATGAAGCATTAGAAAGCAGGAGGATTCTATGAGGATGTCTGGAGACCTGGAAACCCTACTATCCAGAGAAGGGAGGAGTGCTGCAATGAAGGAAGCTGAAGAGGAACGCAGAGAAGTGGGATACTCCTCCTCTCCTCCCCGCCCCCGCCACATGAGAGCAGTCAGCAAGCAGCAAGGATCTCAGCTTTGCTCCCAGCAGCCTGGCCTGAGCGGCCGGGCCGCAGCTCCCGTGGAAGGACGCTGGCCTCTAGTGGGGACAGAGGGGTGGCCGCAGCCCAACCTCCGCAGCCCCTGTCCCAGGGGGCTGCTCACTGCTCCCTCCGGACTGCAACACCCCGGGGCGAGCTTAAATGAAGGGCAAGAGCGAGGAAAATGAAGATGCTGCCTTGCCTGTGCATACGTGTCTCTTGGGCTGCTGCTCTGTTTCTTTTTCATACCTGAGACTATTCTAAAACCACCCCTGTGAGAACCACAGGTTGATTAGCTGAAGCTTCACCATCATTTAAAGTAACAGTTTGCGATGCATGTCTTCTGAGGCTCTTGAAATTTGGTCTGTTAAATGCATTTTTTTATCTACTGTCTTATTGAACAATAAATCCCACCAAAGGAAAAAGATTACTAATGCTGAGCTAATCTAAAAATAGAGAAATCCCATCAAAATCAAATCACTCGGCAAACATAGAATTAAAACCCCAAATTAATTCAGTCAGAGATTTTTTTGTCAGGAAAAAAGTTATATCCATCTGTTTTGTTATGAACTCCATCAAAAAAGTTTTAACAGATCCCCAAGTTGTAGTACACTAGGTACTTCGATGCTGGAAATCATCCTGCAATTTAATACCTCAACCACAACCTCAAAATCCATAAAGCTTCCTACTTAGATTTCAAATACTGTCTGGTAAAATCTCTCCTCTTTGCCTCCTATTTTTTTGGAAATAATAGGTGACGTTTTATTAAATACATTGACAAGCCAAAATCTGACAATGCATGGTGAAAGCTGACAGTATTACATCTCTGATCATGCTCAACTTCAATTAAAGAGCATATGAAATTGGCATCTCCCTACAAAATGTTTCAGCTTGCATAGATCAGTGTTTTTCTTTCAGTGTGGTTCAAATAAATACTCACACACAGAGGCATGTCAGTGACCATATTTTTATACTCCAGGATCAGAGACTAAGCATGAGAATAAATTTGCTGGCTTCTGGAAGTGAGTGACAAAATTGGAAGAAAGCAAAGAAGACCATGGGCTCCTTAGTTCTTGAAATCTTCTGGAATTGTATAGAATCTAGAGATAGAACTGTAGTCAAGAAACCAGGTGGTGATGCTGCACTAGCACAGTATATCGTTCTTAGTGGCCTACCCCAAAATACGGCAAAAACCACGTAAAAGATTAGTATCACCTATTACTTGGTGTTGCAACTGTCTTTGCCTAAGGTGATCAGTCCTTGCCTTCTGGAACGCCATTTTTTCACTTGATGACTTTTTGACACAGATGGTTTACCAGCCTCACTCTTACAGTAAGTTTAATTGATTCTGTTTTGCAGTGTCCCCTGAGACTTTTGAAAAAGATCAAATGCAAGACCTATCTGCTTACCATAAAGATCATTTCTGCCATGTTTGAAAGACTTCACAGGTTTAGCAAAATAACACTCTATGCATGAATTTTAATAATAGCTGACAGTTAGATACCATAGTATTTCTATGAGAAAGGTAACGTGTTGTTGGGTAAAAAGGTTAAAGAAATTTTCACTCTGAATCCTTGTTGACTAGGCTGCAAATAGCTCATCAAGGGATTTCGGCATGAGGCATCCCTCTCACCATTCTTCAGTCATCAACTTACCAACAAATGATGTCATTCTTCTCAAAGACAATTTTGGAAACTTAATATAGCAATTAGGCTGTGAGATTTTAACATCTTAACTAGATACAGGAATAGTGATGTGCAAGTTTTGACAGGCTTTTAAGGAAATAAGCATCTATATATAAAAAAGCCATATTCCCCTACACGTCTTACTTTCAGTGTACAGTGTTGTAGCGGAGTCTCCATGTGAACTGGTTAAGATAAATTATTTTCCTGTGCAGACTGGCTTCCAAACCAAGTATCATTTTTGAAACTAATAAACATATTAATAATGTTAGCATTATCCCCTTATTCTTAACAACTCTAATATGACAACTATATATAACACAACTTTTGAGATCAAAGTGTAAAACAAGGCACATGTCCTCAGAAACTCATACTCCTCCTCCCTGCATGAACATGATCTTGCCGCATTATCTGTGCAGACAACTCCAGTACAAACTTATTAGTCATTTCCTTCACCTACTTTAACTATCTTGGCTCAAAAAAATACTTTATTCTGAAGATTCTAATTGTAAATTACTTTTGTCTAGTTGACTGAAACATCAACAGCTTTCTCATTTTCTTCCACTTCTGACAATTCTGTAGCAGTATCAGTACAGCACTCCAACTATCCTTATGCTTTCTCTACATAAACTCTAAATCATGGCCTTGTTTCTACACAAAAAACAGAAAACAAGGGAACTGAAAGGAAATTTCTATTCTTGTGGATTATTTATGAACTATGGTTGAATGCAGTAACTTTTTTATTGACTGTGGCATCTGTGGACTTCTTTGATCCATGGTAAAGCAAGGCAGATGCAATGAAAAGTGTATGAAACTAACAATTAAGAATGATTAAAATAAAATCCTCTCCTGGATGAATTGGGAAGCATTGCTGAAGCTCAAGTGGAAGGTATTGATTCAGTACAAATGGAATCTTATGGAAGAGAAGGAAAGGCTCAGGCAGAAGGACAAAAATGCCTGCATGCCTGAAAGAACAGTAAGAAAAAAATATCTGAGCAATTGAAAATTTAAAGACAATTTGACCACTTAAACTGAAACAAACAGATTTTCCTTGTGAGTCTGCATTTGCTACTTTGTATCACAATGCTAATAAATTTTGCCACTGGTCCCATCCTCCTACACATCTGCCACTGATGTATAAGAGGTGAAGAAAGCATGAGATGGTCTTAGGATGCTTTTGCACTTGTAAGAAGGTACCTCTGATATTCTTGTTGTAAATACACTATTCGATTTGCTGTCATAGGTAGTGTACATGTTCATTTATGTATAATAAACCGAATCTTGGGGGGAAAAAGCTATACAATTAGCACATCAATCAGACTGTTCTAATATCAATGCCCATTGACTTCCCCATAAATTCTCTTTCATAAGTAATATAAATCAAATCATGAATTAATCATAAGGACTAGAAAACTTAACACCGTCCAACGTTCGTAAATCCTAACAATAAAGCATTAAACATTATTTTTTTTAAATAATGTCACTGATCCATCTGAATCCACAGTCAGTCTGTGTGCGTACTGAACGTGTCATTCCGGCAGCCCTCTAGCAACAGGCTGTGTCAGCTGTGCTTCAGAGTTACAGAGTGGAAAACTTCATTTTTCCCATCAAATGGAGAGACTGCTTTCTTCTTGTTCATATTCTGTGCTCTAAATACAGGGTTTTGCAGCTATTTAAGTCGATCTATCCAAGTTGCCCCCAAAATGCATCATTTTGCCTGTGTCTGTATCCTGCTTTCCACACTGTGGTGGCACCAGTAATCACAAAGCTGTTTGGGGAGCACATTACTCAGTTAATTTGACTGGGGAAGAACTAGCATGGTGGCAGGTTTGGTCCAACTGGTTGCTGGGTTTTTTTAGAGGTTGCTTTCAACTAGATCAGTTGGCTGATCTGACTACCGCTTTGCCATGTGATCACTGGTGCTGATGGAAAAGGGGTGCAAGGGTCCATGTCCAGGCTTCAAGTGGAATGTAAAAGCTCTCACTGTTATCTACTTAAGCTGATTGTAAAAGTTGACCTTTAACCTCTCCCACCCTCACTAGGCTGGCCTGATTCCCTCTTAGGTTTCCCAGAAGATAAGTTTAATTTGCCACTAGTATGAGGAACATCATAGTGATATTAAGAAATGCAGAAAAGCAAGTGTATTAAAGGGCTTTTTTGTGATTTTTTTTTTTTTAAGAGGGCTGGTTTTATTTCCCTTTGCAAGAAAAAGTCTGTTTGAAAAGCAGAATTTGGACCCCAAAGGAAAAAATATTCAGAAGTTCTGATTTTGGTTAAAAAGGTGCTTTTTTAGCAGAAGATAAACATGAATGCACCAAGCTCCTGTGAGGCTGAAGTATTTTCTTTCTATAGCCAAGTTCAGCTCTTTGCTCAGTAACACATGGATGGCTGTTGAGACATATTTAACAGAGGGACCCAAAACTAGAACTTTTTTTTTTTTTCCTCATTCACTGACAAACTCCTGAACTAATCAAGGGCATTTGTTGCTTCCTCTTTAAGTGATAGGAGTGGCATTTTGAGGAATGAGGTGTTAGGGTTTGGCCGCTGTGTGTATACACAAAGGGACTCAGCACAAAGAAACCAGGCAGTGGAAGCGGGGAACGCGTTTGATGAGGAGATGCTAAGGGGCATGAGGAGAGTTGGAGAGAAACCCCAGAGCAAGGAAAGAGACGAAACAGCTCTCTGACGATCAGTATACCTTCTTGTTACGCAGCATGAATACTGCCCTATCAAAGCAATCAAAGCAGCTGTTCCTGTAAATTGAGATTTCCCCTTACCAGCGTTACCTCACATGTAGTGCACACACTACCATAAGCAGAGCTGGCCACAGAAAAATGAACCAGCAGAGATGAGAGAGAGCTTGGATGATCTTGTGTATATCAAGAACAGACATGAAGAGGGGCCAAAACCAGAAGTTAAACCTCAACATCAATGAAATCCTGTGGTTTTTCATCAGTTTCAAACATAGCATTCATAAGAACGAACAGAAGGCATCATGAAATAACAGCCTCGATTTACAAGAAAAAGCTGCATGACTGTTACTCAGCAGCATGTGCACCTTGTGCGCTACTTCTGTCTCCTGAAAGACCAGTTCAGTTACCTTTTACTCTTTCCAATTCCTGTGTCTCCAAAATAAACTGAGCATACAGGGTTGGCTGCAAGAATTCACCCGGAGAGAGTTTTGATTCTAGACATCTATGTTTTCCCCATATAGAGTCCAACTGATGTAGGCTTACTCATATTGCCATAAAAATTCCTCTGCTTTCAGAGAGCTGCCAACTGTGTAAGGCAACGCTGATCTTCACTACCTATTCCAGTAGACAAACCCCAAAGTTTAATTGGATTTTTATTACCATGATGCCATTAGTTCCTACATATTTACCTTACACCAGGCAGCAGCACATGAATATCCAGGTTTGCTAGACACACTACTAACAATGAATGCCATGAAAACAATGCTGAAAATTTTGATCTTTGGGAATAAACCATAAAACAAGAGCCACTGCACACTCACATATGTAAGTGTTAGTAATTCAAGCAGCTCTCAACTAATCTTCTGAAGAATTTATAAAAAGCAAGAAATCATGACAAAAATTCTTTCTTCTTCCATTACGTGTGCAGTGAGGGTGTTTTCCTCTCAAAATTTCCGATGTTTCACTCCTGTAATTCTTGTACTATGTGCTTTTCTCGCTACAATATATTTTAATTAAAAACATAATAAAGTTATAATAATTTGTATATACTTTAAAACATTAAATTGGACATCCTACTATCACACAAAAGCTGGTTGATCAAGGCTACAGAAAGGCATTCCGCAATGAAAAAATTCTCTACTGAAATTTCTGTGTCCTGGAAGGACATACTTTTTCCTTCAAAGGAGAGACCGGCCACGTTGCACTGAGTATTGTAGTGCTCACTGTGTGACAGTTTGGTTTTTTTAAGTCACAAACATACACCATCTACAATAAAAAGAAGTTTAGGTTTCTATCAATCATTTACTTTTCAGGAAACGCGTGAATTAAAAATGCTTATGTGATGCTACTTTGTGTTCTTGCTCACCTGCTCTGTGATAATAGTGAGGTCAGATTCTCTCTCCAAGTACGCTCTAATAAGGTACTTATCATAATGATCATGCACAAAGTCAGAAAGTTGAGGTTACCAAAGCAATAATGATTCCCCTCCACCTTACTTGTACTCCATTTTACATTTTACTCCATGTAACAGAGAAATATATAACTACATGCTTTACAAAAGTTATTTTTGAGTTAGAAAAACAGATGAATGATCCTGTCATCTTAGAATAAATTTTCTATGCTTTCACATACCAAGTTGAAATCACTTTGTCTATTAGTTATTCATTCAAACATGCACACCTACCTTTATGGTAACATTTCCTTTTGTTATTTTTCTCATATTGAAGCCTACTGTAGGAATCATATCTTCTGTGAACTGCCCTGACTAGAATACAAACAAAAAAAATATATATTTATTACGAAAAAGTTGATACACAGCAGATGACTTTCTTGTTTGCAATCTAAAATTTTTATTTTACAACACTGTAAAATATCACATTAATTTCCTACAAGAGCACTGGCCAGCACTTCAATTAATGCATTGTCACACCAAGGAAGACTGTTCATTTCAGTCCCTTTAAATGATCTTTTATTCTCCTCAGTGACAAAGATCACCCCAGAAACCACGAGACTTCAAATAATTCGTCATCTGATCCCTAAGCAAACCAGAAAGCAGCACTGTCAAAATACAGAATCACAGAATGGTTTGAGTTGTAAGGGACCTCTAAAGGTCATCTAGTCCAACCCCCAATATGACAAAACTGACTATACCAGGATTTTTCCCTGTAGTTTCTCACTACTGTTATCAGTGGTTTAACTCCAAATGTAATAAATGGTGAAAGAGTACTCATGTGAAGAGTACTAGAGGCAGACCCTTTCCTCCTGAGTAGGTGACAGCAGAGCAGTCCTGCTGTGGAAGGTAAGAGAACATCATTAAGACAGAAAAATACAAGGTACTAACTCAGCACACCATAAACCCAAAACATAAACCCGAAGTGCTGCCTCCTCCCTCAATTCAGATAAATATTTTTACAAGACAGACGCTTGTCATCATGCCAACAGGAACCTTACACACATCTACCCACTACAGAAGACAGCTTTTGAGGAGAAAGGTGAAACTCAGATCTAAGTAGAGAACTGACTATTAATTCTTCCTTTCAAAATGTATCATTAATATGGTATTGTGTCTCCTTGGAGTGGTGCACTAAGATATGCAGATGGTTACAAAAGTTATGTCTACACAGAGGCTGAGGCACTCTCTGCAACATACACAGCAGTCCTGGTTTTCCAGTCAGCCAGAAAAAAGAACAGGACCTCCTGGACTTGCCATGGCCCTTCCATATCTATCTGCCCATATTCCCTTCACCCACCTCATCAGCCCATGTACCCTGGGGGTCTTTTTTGAAGAAAATACGGGTTTGTGGACAAGGAGGGAAGCAGGCATGCTCCAACAGGTCCCTCCCATCTGAGAACTGGATGATCAGAGGATCAGGGTGCACCAGAGCACCTATGTGCCTCACAGTGCACACACTCCCACCAGCTACCCCTAATGCTACTGTGGGCCTCAGTATTCTTTCTGCAACTTCTCTCTTCACCGTTTGTGGCAGAGTGAGAATACACTATGCCTCCAGTGTGTGTTCAGAAACTAAGATTAATTATTTTTAATCTGGGACTTTAAAAGATGTGTAACCTTTGACAGTGACTTGATCCCCTCACAAGATTTTGGGGTTCGGAATTAGGTCCTTCAGGCAAGAAAGAACTTCCATCAGTTACTTGTTCAATCTTACCTACAGGAATGTTCTTGCTAAATTCTGTACTATACATCTTGCCCATCTTTTGTTTCTGGAAGTCTCTTTTTTCCTCCTCTTTCTTTGCTTCAATGACTTGTCAACAGCAGTAGGAAAAAACAGTGAAGACAAATGCACCTGCAGTTTCATACAGACACACGGTACCCAGCAGAGACAGGACTTTTTAATTGGATGGAGTAAGACAAGGCTAATCAGTAACCATCTCCTGTAGCAGGTACTGGCCTAATTTGTTAAAATGTCTAATACATTTATTTGCGGAGGGCAGACACATAAACACATATGAACACATCAAACTTGAAAATGCAGCATCATTACTCAAGCTGGAAAAACAGCCATCCAGCTCAGGAGGCTATTGTTTAAACAAAATGGAAAGTGGAAAGTCAGGATTCCACTTCTGTTAGCAAATTATACAACATATACAGTATGCTAAACTGGAAGACAAAAAATAATAATAAAAAAATCATAACTGCTCTGGTATTGGGGATAGAAAGCAAAGAATTAGTGTCCCTCTTATTGGTCTTTTTTCTTCTAAAAATTTTCCATTCTGGTTGAATGGAAGCAGCTACGTATAAAGTTTACAGCTCTTTATTTTCCCACACAATGAAGAAAGTAATATGTTGAATCTTTTGTCAGCGTTAGTCCAAAAACTCTTGATTACTGTGGTTCTTTTCACGTGCTGCAAACACCATAAAGTAAAAACTCTGTTCCATTTTGCTTGCTAAGGAAGTTTTACATGACAAATTACCTACTTTCATGAATATTCAAGATGTACAAACAAGTTTATTGTTGTATCTCAGTGAAAAAGAGATTACATCCTGACACAGATGAAAACAACTGATGCTAAGAAGTTTGTAATGTCCTCTTTAAACGTTGCTGAATATTGAACTGATAATGAATACTGCCATAACCCCTTACCATAATGATCATGGGCCAGATTCTACCCCATTACATCAGTGCACATCCATAGTAAAAAGCAGAGACGTTACCCAAGGTTTCCAGTGGTAACAGAGGACTAAATATGGCTCAAGCTCTTCAGGGAGGAGACTGTCTCAAAGGGTGTGTTTATTCAGTGCTAGCATGATAGGATTTCTGAATACTATTGCAAAGTAGAAAAACTAGACATTTCCTACCACTGTTTTTTATAATCCATTGCAGTTTGTATTTTAAGTAGCCACTATTTTGTGACAGTTAATTTTCATCTTGTCACACTCTAGGCATACACAAATGCACACGGAGTTCCAAATCTATTTGCCATCCCCATATCAACGGTATTCAAGAGTAAGCTATCATCCATTGCTGTACTCCCCAATTCTTCAGCCACCTTTCTTCAGTGATTATCATTGTGTATCATCTCCAGACTGAAAGATCCAAAATCTACAAAACCTGCAATCTGTGCCACTCCCCAAGTCAGAAAACTTGGATGTCTTGTAGAACATTCTTAAGCAATACATTTCCTGGGAAAATGAGACCTGCAGTAACAGCAGTGCTCTGGTATTCAAAATATTAGCACAAGAGAGACAAACGCATATAGCACCCATTCCACAGGTACTGTACTATAAATGAGTGAACAAACACAAAGTCTAATACCACTCACTACTGTTAGAGGTCTCTGAACTGCTGTGTTCCTTGTTCCGTTTAGGAAACCAATCCACTAAGCAATATGTCATGCCTTTCCCCCCTTCCTCAGCAAAGCCTGGCCTTGGGAGACAAACACTTCCAATGGGCATGAGGAGCGCTGAGGCCCATGTTACCACGACCAGTTCCAGATATTTTCTGTGTATTGATTGCCAATGTTCCCCAGCACATACTTTCATTGCCTTCTGCACTTTCCCTAGCCCATTCATTTTTCTCCTCTCTCTCTCTCTCCACTTCCCCACTCACACTGATCTCCTATTTTCCCCTTAATCCATAATTGTATATGAAAGCATACAACAAATATCATATACTCATGTTCATCATTGTCTCAATCTCTTTGACTTCAGGCCATGCACCTCCCACTATGGTTTTGATTCCTGATCCAGTAACTTTTCAGGATGACTCAAGAACATCTGGAAGCCCATTACCTCATGGCAGGAGAAGCTGCAATACATCTAACAGCAGTGATCACCTCGCAGAAAAGGGTGTGCACTAAGAAGTTTCATGATTAGTACCAACCATATTTAATGTATCTATCTGTTTCCATCTTCCAATGGAAAGCAAATCTTCAGGATGGACCCAAATGCAGAAGGGTGGAGGGCACAGCAAACAAAGATGAGGAACGTATTTCAGCACAGCGACAAAATGGAAAACGTCATGGCAGGTGTCAACGCTAGAGAGGAACAAGGCTGCAAGGCCATGTCACAGTGGGAAGGGAATGCTAAATCAGCTTTGAATGCTGAGAAAGAGCTATCAAGGAATTGTGGAAGGCATTAAGATTGATGGGAGGGGGAAATTCAGTGACAGCGGAGTTGTGGCCTTGGAGGATGCACAATATATTCCGAGTTATTCTGGGATACACTGGCCATGAAAAGCCAACTCTGACCCACAGGCACAAGTCCGTGCCCAGGAATCTGCTTTGAGACGGGCAGACTTCAGAAAAAGGAGGCATTTTCTTCCTCCCCCTTAAAACAGTTTCACACCCATCTGAGCCCGCTGTGAAATTCTCGAGGAGCAAAAGACGCAGCAGCTGCCTC